GTCAGCACCGGTCTCTGCTGGAGGCGGGCGGTGGGCCCCGCTGGAGCGGTGGGGCCTGGTGTCCACCTGGGAACCGCGGTTGCCTTTTGTGGGCTAGGTGCGTGGTTTGGCTTAGGCTTCTTCTAAGGCTACCGACTGTAGAAAGTCTTTGCCTGCACTGTTTACTATTTGTGCCAGCCCTCGGTTGGGGCTGTATAATTTGTTCTGTGGCTGGTTGGCAAGACAAATGACTTGTGTTAGAAATAGTCGTTGTCTCTTCAGCTGTTTTGAACCATGATCATTTCCATAACTTCATTACTGTGTAGTGCTTACACTGACAAATCCAGGGGAGGTACTGCAAAGTTTGGAATAAGCAGAAGGAGGATGAAACCTGTTTAAGATGATGTTCTTTCTGAGGATAATGTTCATCAAGCTATAAAACCACAGCCTGATAAATAGAGTTTGTGCCTCATGGACAGTTAGAGCTGGACATCTATGCTGTGGTTCATACAACTTTCTAATAAATTATTTCTTGTTTGATAGCAGTGTTGATTTTCCCAGTAGCAGGCTAAGATGCCAGCTGATGTAATTAGGTACTGGAACTGAGAATCTAATACCCAAATAATAGTCTTTGGTATTTACGAAATCAGAGTATACCAAAACCAATCCTTGCATCATGTAGACTTTATTTCAGAGGAGCAGAGCTGTAATATGCTCTGTTTTCTCACACTTCCATTTTCGCAGGTGTTATTTGCCATTTAAGTCTTTGGATTTAGTGTTGCATCCATCACTTTGTTGTACTGTATCCACGAATCACTGGACTGTTTCGGGGTACTCTAAGTCTTAAGAACTTTAAGAAAGTAACTTCTTTTTTTAGAATAAATTTTGCTCTTTTGCTAATTTGAATGGTGCATAGAGGAGCCTAATAGAGCCAGCACAGAGTGAACAGCAAGAAGGGGATTGCCCACTCGTATGTGTTAAGCTGCTTATCAGCTCATGGCTTCCCCAAAAAGGGAGGACTGAAGTTCTGTTCCAAAGAAACAGTTGCTTACAGTGTTCCAGCACTTGCCACAACAGAGCTGTATAGTCTGCTTTATTGGATCATTGTTTTTAAATAACTCACTCTTTGATTTCAGGTAGATGTCTTGAGGTGATCTTTGCCTCCAAGACACAACACTCCAAGAAAAATACAATGAGAGATTTTGCTATTTCTTCTTTCATGACCATTGTTTACTAGCTTTTTTTTTTTTTTTTTCCTGAAACATATCTGAGTGTCCAGATAGTTGCAAGAGTATCTGTACTGGAATGTCTTATGAAGACTCCTTGCTGCAGTTGAAGTTCTCCACCTTGCTCCCGGACATTGGCATAATCTACTGAGCATACTAACAATGCTTAGGATAATAAATCGACCCAATGTGGAAGAATACTTATGGGGCTATAGAAAACTTAGTTAGTGTTGGTTAACTCTGGCTAAACAACAGCCTGTTTTAAACTTACATGAGCTAGTTGTTCAAACTGACAGTTTTAATTGTCCTGAAGTGGTATAGGCATTCCAAGGAGGAAATTGTAATAAAAAGTAATAAGCACTTAAGAGCAAAGGAGTAACGGTGATACCAACAAATCCACAGGTCAGTGTATGCAGTACACTGGATGGATTAGACCACAGTTTTATTTGAAACTAGCCCAACAAATAAAATTAAAAATCCATTCATAACTTCTAGAACTTTTCTTGATGCTCGTGATTTGGGGACATCCTCTGTCTGGTGGTTTTTTTTCTCCCCTCCCACTGTAGTGTTAATAAGTATTTCTCACTTGGATAGCAAGAACCTAAGTCCTTCTAGAGAAGCCAAAAAAAAGCGTTTGAAGATGTCTCCCACTATAGGGCTGGAAGTGGGATAGTGCATTGTAATCATGTACTTCCTGTATTGACTCTGTTGACAGGGTTTACTGATGTCATCAGTCATAGTTCAAAGTGTCTGGGTCTGTGATTAAAAAAAACCCCCTTAGAATGGATTTCCAAATCTTTCCATAATAAATGCAAGAGACTGGTAAGGTAAATTGCATAAACAAGCCAGTAGTAGTTCCAACTTAGTACACAGTTCTTCTCACTTACACTTTTTTGTGTGCTAGTAAATTTTGGCAGTTTGTTATTCAGTGTTCATAAATGGATAGAAGTATTGTGCCACATACAAAGCACATGTAAGACTTGCAGTCATTTGCCTTCAAGTTTTTCAGGGTAAATGTTGAAGAGCAGAAAAGCTGGCTGTCAAAAACCAGTCACAGCAGCAGCTTAAAATGTCTCTTTGATCATGCAGCGTGTTCTCGCATAGCACTTAATTATTTGCTTGTATTACAGAAAGCAATAGACCTTGCTAGCAAGGCAGCGCAAGAAGATAAAGCAGGAAACTATGAGGAAGCCCTTCTCTTGTACCAACATGCTGTGCAGTATTTTCTCCATGTTATTAAATGTAAGTGTAATGTATTAGATGATTAAGTAAAGTTTAGCACTCAAATTGTACAGGGTAATCTCATATGTTGACATCCTTATTTAAATTTTTACTATCATCATCAGTTGGTAATTGTAATTTGACTGAGGTCATATATTTTGCAGCTTTTGCCTTTATCGTGTTGTGTGCTTGCTTCACTCTTGTAAGAAATCAGATTATTTTTACTTGTGTCTTGCTGTAGACAAGGAGGGATGGAGTTGCTGTGTCTCCTGGACTTTTTGTAGCAGTGTGTCAGGCTGGCCACTGCACAAGGAAATGTGACAATAAGTACAGGGATCCCTGAATTTCTGTTGTGCTGAAAACCACGTGTTACACAAGAAGTCTTTGTATCTACAGAGCGGTTTTTTGTTCCCTAATTCATGCGGGTTGCTTTTCTACAACCTGTCTGCTGGCATTTTTCTTAATGTTATAGTCCGCTGTTGATCTTGGCCAGGACAATGCACGAGATGGATTTGTATGTTGTAATTTTTCTTCAGTTTCCATATTCTCATTATTTTATGGCTTTTCGTGCTTCTCTGTACCTTTTGAGTCATGTCCAGTGTTTGTGTGCAAAGAGTAAGCTTTCTTAATGTAGGTACAGCCCTAATCTAACTGGGCTAGGGTAGCTATCCTGACATAAGTGCACTTGCAGATCTGCATGATTTGGTAAAAAACCTCCACACCATTATTCCATTATTCTATTTGCTTTATAATCACTTAGGATAATCTGTGTTTATCAGTTCCTACCTATTTATATCTTACAGACTTTTATCAGTATATCACTTACTGTGCTTTTAAAATACTGATGTATTTTTTGGAACTTAACACATAAACCTAACGTGTTAAATTTTGATTGCTGATTTGAAATACTGTAATAATGACTAAAGCCAGTGTGGCTGTTGAATTTAACTCTCAGATGTTTTATGTGATTTTTTCTTTGACGTGAACATCTTTTAAAATTAGCAGGCTATGGGAAAATAAAGTATGATTCTAAATAAAATTTGCTTAGTACAAGCAGCTTCCTAATGAGGTATTTTAAAAAAGGAGTTAATACAATGTATAGCTTTAAAGGCTGACAGTAAAGCTTCCAGAGCCATTATCCTTGATCATTACAGTCAAATTTTAAGCCAAAGCAATGTTCAGGTGTATACTTGTTTTCCAGTAGGTGATGACTTCCTGTAATTTCTTTCCATGGTATAGTGGAAAAAGAAGTAGTTGAGGTGTTCGGTTATGTGGTGAGCCCTGAGAGAAGCATATTGAGAAGATATAAAGAAAATAGAGATTCAGTCTTGTTTTCTGATTGATATGCTTGTCTTTTGCTGTTAACAAGGCATTGTTTCTCTTTAAACTCTTAGATGAAGCACAGGGTGATAAAGCAAAACAGAGCATTAGAGCGAAATGTACAGAATACTTGGACAGAGCAGAAAAGCTGAAAGAATATCTGAAAAAGAGAGAAAAAGCTGCACCAAAACCAGTTAAAGAGTCTGGTCCTACTGATGGAAAAGGGTATGTTTTTGGAGAAGGTAAAGCAAAATACTTCCTGAACTCAGCTTACTCTAAAATTCAACTCTTCAAAGATAACTTTAATTAGTATTTTTGAAACACTTCAGATGATGACTAATGCTGAAATCCAGCAGGCTAATAAAAGAAAAATAACGTGAATTAGCATGACAGGCATATCTGTGCTTGTTTACTAAGATATGTGATCATTTGTATAGGAAATTCAGTAAAGAATGAAAGTTGTTTCAGACTGAGACATGATTATTCAATTTAAAGGCAAAGAGTCTGATGACCCTTAAATTTTTCTACATTTAAATACTTACTAGAAAATAAATTCGGACTGATGATTACTGGGGCCTGAGTTTGACATGTCTCACACTTGGTAAGAAGTGCAAAGCTCTATGTAGGGTGAAGTTCTGTAAGATGGGCTGAACCACCCTAATGCCTTGCTGCTGCCCAGTCTCTCTGCTGCTTTCCTTTTATGAGATTTGTTTTTCATTTTGCATATCAGAGCTAAACAAGCAGAGCCACCTGAACAAGCCGAGCCTCTTTTGCACTTGCTACTGCCTTTAAGAGGATATGAGAAAGAAAGGGTTCATGATGATACTTTCTAGCGGGTTGCCCTTTTTAGCAGTCCTGAACAGCTAGATTTGCTCAGTTGTCTCTCTGAAACTCCACCTGATTTTTCAGTCTCCCTCATTGTCTACTTGTCTCATCAGTTTTATTTTTTGAGCTGTACTGTGTTCTGCTGGTTTATAATAGAAGGAGCTGGTAACATTACAGAGGCTACATGTATTTCATGACCTCCACTCTAACTGTTCACTATTTAGTCTCCTTTTATCCTCCTTTAATTTTCAGTTTCCTTTCTCTGACAGGACAAGGGTGTACATAGTACTAGATGGAACTGACCACGTCTTGTTGCAATTCCAGATAGGGGACAAAAGCTGATGTCTAAAAAAACCCCATTTTAGCAAGCAGTGTGAGAGTGCTACCAGGGCTTTTGTTTTCTAAAGGCTGGCTTAAAGCATGTAGAAGTGTGTGAAGAGGGCTCAGATCATTAAGAGGAAGTTGAAATGGTGAGGAGGGTGAGTTAGAAAGAACGCGGTGTAGAAAAGCAGTAGTACAATGATGTAAACTTGTAGAGATCTGAAGGTTTCTCAAGGTTTCTTTCATTCCTTAGTCCAGTGATTTTCCTGCTATTTCCATTCTGATTTTTTTCCAAAGACAGTCTCTTTTATCGTATTTCAGCATGTTTTTCTTGTTTCAAATCAGGAATGACAGTGATGGGGAAGGGGAGTCAGAGGATCCTGAAAAGAAGAAGCTACAGAATCAACTTCAAGGTAATTTTGCAGCATCCTTTTCTTCAAATAAGGGTGACTTTAGTCAAGCAAATTCCTATATTTTTGTCACCTAAATGTTATGGATTAACTTGCTATCTGTAAGTGGCTCAACTAGTATGCACTTTTCACATACAAAAGCATAATATTTCTGGAAGTATGGGTTTGCATGCCATGAAATCGTACAGTGACTATATTGAAATGCATCTCCTGTACCCTGTACTTCAATGTTAAAACTGAACCGTTTATCAGGATAGCATTTTCCAACAGGAGAAGTTGCAAAATTCCATGTAGCTGTTGGCTAAACTGAATCAGTATTTTTTACTCTTAAGTGCATTAGAGTATTGCCTAGAGGCTAAGGTAACAGACATACAAACAGTGTAAGCAGGACCATTTTCACAAAAGCTTATGCTCAAGTTTAGGAGTTGAGAATATGGATTCTTGCCTATTTATAGTAATGGGCAGCATTTTCTCATATGCAGTGATGATGTTCTCCCAGTTGAGTAATATAGTTGGTGTTTCCGTATCACTGACTGTATGCAGCATTTGAGCTCAATGTATAGCAGCTACCAGTAGTTTTGTGCACAGTAAAAAAGAGGCTTTATTTGGTATTGATTACCCTTTAATGGTGAAGAACTGTTCAGAGCTTCCCTGCCAGAAAGTGCTTATGGATCTGAAGAAACTTCATTGTTCTCCATCCTATTTCTCAGTGTAACAAAGATCAAATGCATTTACCAGAACGCTCTGCCTGTGTAATTTCAGGAGCTATTATAGTATATTTGGAAACTGCACCATGCTTTTTATACTTCTCTACATGTTTACTTAGTCTTATACATAGTTATATGGGACAGTTTCCTATACTTTAAAATGACAGTAAAATAATGAGCATTGGACTCTTATGCTGTCTCTCACTATAAAGGCTTTGTTTCTTCCCACATGAATCTGACCATTTCTTACTTCAAGAAACAATTTCTTGTCTTGGAGCTAAGCAGGCTCCAGCTTTTTACCGTTAGATGATCCAGTTGTTTGCTGCGCATCTGCAGATACCCAACAAGTTACTTCATCTCGTGGAGAGTGTTATAAATCCTGGACTAGTGCAGTGACATTGCTTCTCTTACTTAGATTTCTTTTTGGTTGGAAGTAGATTGGTGGTTTAGTGAGGAGATGGTGCCTGGATACCTGTTAGAGAAGGTACTCCTCTGTGATTATTAAATGCACATTTGATGGTCAGTTACAGACTAGTTTTAACCGTTGCAGGACTTCTACTAACTCTTGAGTACTTTGGTTATCCATGGTTTCTTGTGGTAAAACAATGTGATAGATTTCTATAAAAATAACATCTATTTGACTAACAATATTCAGTGTTTATACCTACTTTGAAGTGCCTTGTTTTTACTCAGTATGGACAGGGGCATAGATTTATTGATTTTTTTTTTTTAATTTTTTTTTTTTACTTTTTTCCAAAATTGTATTTATTGAAGTTGTAAAAAGGTATGTGCATCCCTAATGTATACAATCTTTTCTTATAGGAGCAATTGTTATGGAGAGACCAAATGTCAAATGGAGTGATGTTGCTGGCCTCGAAGGTGCCAAAGAAGCACTTAAAGAAGCAGTGATCTTGCCCATAAAATTTCCACACCTATTTACAGGTCGGAATTACAGCATTTATTTGCTATTGGCCAGTCAGGACTAGCACTGGGGTCTGAGAAGAGTGGTGTACCAATGTATCAGAGACTCAAGCTGAGTTCTTAACAAAGAGATTGTGATCCATCTGACAAAAGTTTCAGGGGTAGATGTGGAAAACGTTTTTAGTAAATTAGAGGGACTTCAGAAAAATAGATTCAGTCTTTCTACAGTATTTTGAAGGCTGATGGTTTCTCTCTTGCAGGAAAAAGAACACCTTGGAGAGGGATTCTCCTGTTTGGACCACCAGGAACAGGAAAGTCTTATTTAGCAAAAGCTGTGGCGACAGAAGCAAACAACTCTACGTTCTTCTCAGTATCGTCCTCTGACCTTGTATCAAAGTGGTTAGGTGAAAGTGAAAAGTAAGTTCGAGTTGCCAGAGGTCCAGGAAATCACTGGCAAGAAGAAATTAACATAAACCTAGATAAGTTGCTGTGAAGAAATTGAGTTTGTGGGCAGGCTGATGTCTTTAAGAACAAACTTCAGGTGTTTCTATATTTCACGCCGAAGTGCCATGGAAAGATACGATCATGTGCTATGTTTTGTACTGCTGCAGCTGGACCTCTTTTCAGTGCTCTAAATAGTTTTTAAAACTAGCTCAGAAAGGTTTCAAGAGCACTGTGGAGCTCATTCTCCTATACTTGGCTCTAATGCATGCTACGTCAGTCTGGAGTGTTGGGGTACTCTACCTCTTGGTGTCACCCCACTCATCTATCCCAGCAGCTGTGTTGTTAACATGTGGCATCTTTTTGTCCATATGGAGGAGTTTTTTCTTTATCCTGGTTTCAAAAAGAATCTGGAATCTAAAAGACTTGCAAAAATAGGTTGGAAAAGGGGAGCAGCCATGAAGGAAAATTTCATGGTTTCCCATGTTAACTCTTCGTTTATTACTATGTTAAGACCACCAGGAAGCCTGAAGTGACATGTTGGCTGTGGTCTAGAAGTCTAGGCTTCCAGTGAAGACTTACTGAATTAGGAAAAAACTCTGGGATTGTTATAAAAAAGTACTTTCATGTGATAAGAATACTTGTCAAAACCATGCTTTGGTGGTTTGAAATGCAGACAACTGAGCAACATTAAAGTTGATAGGATGAAGAACAAAGGCCATTAGATGAAGTGTTTGAACTGGGGTTTTTCCTCCAAAGCTGGAAACCTTAAGTTGCTTTTCTCCTGTTGCAAAAGGAATACAGAACTTGAATCCAGCTTGGCATTTTTTTTTCTGTTTAACTTCATTTGAGACTATTGCCTGACATTTAGTGTTGGTAATGTGAAGGATTTCCCAGCAGGTTCTTAATTTATTTTCCTTTTTAATTTAGTAAGATATGTTAATAAGATTAGGTTACAATCATGGAATAGTTAGGGTTGGAAAGGACCTTAAGATCATCTAGTCCCAACCCCCAGTGTTAAATAAGAGAAAGCCATGTTCTTTTCAATCTGCCTGGAGTGGTCGTTTTGTATAGTCCAGGCTGTCTTGTAGAAATGTAAACTGAAAAAGGGCTTTTTCTTGCAAAACCATGTCTGGAGTACTCTAAACTGTTTCACTTCCCTTTATGCTGGGCTATTCAGTCAGTAAAATGCTGAGACTTGGAGCTGGAAGAATATTATGTGTTTGATTATTACATAAAAGTATTATGTTAATACTTTTTTTTTTTTTTGGCTTTCCCTAAAGGAAGTGACTGTGTCATAATCTCAAGTTAGGTGTTTTCACTGCTGTAATCATTAAGATAACTGAAACTGTTTCCTTTTTAAGATTAGTGAAAAACTTGTTCCAGCTTGCCAGAGAAAACAAACCTTCTATTATCTTCATTGATGAGATAGATTCCCTCTGTGGGTCAAGAAGTGAAAATGAAAGTGAGGCTGCCAGACGGATAAAAACAGAATTTCTAGTCCAGATGCAAGGTAAGTTTGCTTGGTTTTCAGAATCAATCAGAGGAGTTAAGATATGTATTTTAAGGGTAACTTGCATGAAAACATGAAAAAGATCTGCAGTTGCACCCTGTTAAATTTTCATGACATTTTAAAAGTCTGTTTGTTATCTAAATTGTAAAATGGTTTCTGCCCTGATATAGGGGTTGGTATTGACAATGAAGGAATCTTGGTCTTGGGAGCAACAAACATACCCTGGGTTTTGGATTCTGCTATCAGGAGAAGGTATGATGGCATTATTTTATGGTATGAAATTTGAAACTTTTGTGAGGGTTCAGTCTGAGACTACTTGAGGTCATAATCCAGCTCATGTTTGCAGACATGGCTAATACTCTACAACTCAATTCCATGAGGTGGTCTGAGCCAAACTAATAGCCTCTTGGCCCTTTAAAGAGGTAGGTTGTTCACTCTTATATTGGCCCTATAGTTTATTTGATTTTCTTTGTTTAGGTGATTGTGCTTGAGCAAGCAGAAAACTATTCTTTTTCCTTGTTGGCTGGTTTTCTGGTGGGCTTGGGGGATAAGTTACAAAAAATCACACCTCTGAAGGGCAAGAGGGAGTAAAGCTTCCCTTTCCAGCTGTTAAACTGTTGTGTAGCTTGAGTTACTTCATGGAAATGTAGCTTTATGTTACACAGAAACACTATGGTTTTCTGCTGATCAGGCATAATTTGTGATCTTTCAGTGCATGTTTTAACTGCTGTTCTGTAGATAAAGAGCTTCCATACCTGTATTTGACTAGCTGGATCATTCTTTGAGCTGCAGAGCAGCAGAGGAAAAGTTACAGCTATGTGACAAATACGACTATGTTGTAATGAGGACACAGCTTGGATAATGGTCATTTTTGTAGGCTAAAGAAATACGACCTTTTTTTTTTTTTTTTTGTGACTGTCACTGACTTTATGTATATATTTTGTTCAAGTTGACCATATTTTGATTAGAGGTTCAATCAGGTGACCCCCAGAGGTTGCTTCCAACCTGTATGACTATAGTTTTGTGTGAGACATTAGAGGTGAATGTGTTGCTTAAAATTTCAAGTCATTCTTGAAATTCCAGCTCTGGGGTCCACAGTACAAGACAGGCAGATAGTGAACCATGAAGATAATCAGAAAGGGCTATGAAACACCTCTCCTGTGAAGAAGGGCTAAGAGAGTTGGGCTTTGTTCAGCCTGGAGAAGACAAGACTCCAGAGAGACAGTAGAGCAGCCTTTCTATATACAAAGGGGACTTTTAAGAAAGATGGGGGTTGGTTTGGGTTTTTTTGTCTGTGGTGGTTTTTTTTGGTTGGTTGGTTTGGTTTGGTTTGGTTTTTATACCACGGCCTATAGTGACAGGAGAAGGGGCAACAGTTTTAAACTGAAAGAGCATAGATTTATATTGGACTTAAGGAAGAAATCTTTTATGACAAGGGTGGTGAGGCCCTGGCACAGGTTGCCCAGAGAAGCTGTGGCTGCCCCATCCCTGCAGTGTTCAAGACCAGGTTGGACGGGGCTTTGAGCAACCTGGAAGGTGTCCCTGCTTGTGGCAAGGGGGTTAGAAGCAGATGTTCCTTAAGGTCCCGTCCAACCCAAACCATTCTGTGATTCTCTGCAGTATGAAAAAGTAGCTCTCTAACTCTTGTCCATAAGACTTAAAGGAGCTTGAGCAACAATAGCAATAATCAAATTAATTTTTCATGGATTTCTCCCATTTTGTCATGTATATCAAGTTAATTGTATTCTACAAAACTTAGAGTCACTCTTACTTTGTTGGTAGGAGGTAATCCCCACAGTGAGAACAAAAGCTGTTTCAAAGGAAGAACTGCAGTTATCAACATTTCCTACTGACAACTGTATTGAGAATATGACTTTAAATTTGCTTCCAACTACGAGCTTTTCTTTAGTAGGAGACTGTAGAAAGTGGTTGTGTCAGCTTGCTATCAGACAGTTCTTTGAGTGTGAAAACTGCTCAATTGTACTTCAACACTTGAAGACTTTTCCCCCTCAGTTTTTCTTTTAAAACACAAACTCTACTGGAGAGAATCTGGAAAAACTTCAATCTGAAGAGATCTTTGTCACGGAAAGGAAGTAGTTGCTCTGCTCTGGATGTTAGCTTATGCTATAGCTATGGATTTATTTATAAGAACATGTTGTTGAATATTGGCCTTAAGTGTGAGGGTTTTTTTAAAGTTTATAATACTGAAAGTGCTTCTTTCTAGTACTGTTAGGAACAAACTATATTCATTTGCATAAGCTTCTTTCCACCATGCACCTGCATGAGCTAGAATCTATGGAACATTTTGGGTTTTCTTTTTAAACCAGGTTTGAGAAGCGTATTTATATTCCTTTACCTGAAGACCATGCCAGGGCTGCAATGTTCAAACTTCACCTTGGGTCAACTCCAAATGGCCTAACAGAAGCAGATTATCGAAAGCTTGGAGAAAAAACTGAGGGCTATTCTGGTGCAGATATAAGCATCATTGTACGTGATGCACTGATGCAGCCTGTTAGGAAAGTGCAATCAGCTACTCACTTTAAAAAAGTAAGTAGGAATCAATTTTTGTTTGTTTGTTTTTTGGTTTTTTTGTTATTTCATCTCAGAACTATCTTAATTTGAAAATTCCTTGCAAGTAAACTGAATTTGGTTTTGGGTGATACTGCTTGCTTATGAATGTCCTTTTTATGGACCAGGGGAAAACTTGGTTATTCCTCCTCTATTTTCCTCTCCCCCTACCTCCCAGAGTCCTGCCATATATCTGGTGGAGCTAATTTCTGGATATTCATGACTCTTCATGTCTCTAGGTAGTGTTAAAAGTAATCAGTTTGAAGTTTGACTTAAATGGGAATGTTAGAGGTGCTTTTTTTTCTGGATCAAGTTACTTGGTTCTTCATGTTTTTCTAGCATGTTTAAAACAAATGTATTCCTCATCCGCATGGGAACAGATGGATTATAATTATGCACATTCTGCTTGTTTGGCACATTTTTCAAACAGACAAATCAAGGTTCTTGTAAAGCTCTGGTAAAAACATTGATTCGTTGTCACTTGTTATAGTATTAAAGATGCATGAGAACTAAGCAAACAAATTTTACAGGGCTCTTGAGCTCTTCCCAGTTTAAAAACGGAATAAGTATTTTGAAACACTTGGTAAGTTTATTCTGGGGGCATCTCAGCAGTAACACTGATTTAAACTGTATTTATTTAAAGATAAGCTGCTGTTTTGATCTCTCAAGGATTTTCTAGATGCTTCCTTCTCTTAAGCACTGATGCCTGAAGCATTTATCCACTGTTGACTCTTAAGTGACAATGACATTTCAGGCTAAAGGGCTATTACCTTTCAGCATTTTCTTCAAATTTTGAAGAATCTGAGGCACATCTCAGATTACCATAGAGCAATGAAATAAACTCAGTTAAACAGGGGAAGTTCAGGTTAGATATAAGGAAGTTCTTTACTGTGAGGGTGGTGAGGCACTGGAACAGGTTGCCCAGAGAAGTGGTAAATGCTCCATCCCTGGCAGTGTTCAAGGCAAGGTTGGACAGAGCCTGGGGAAACATGGTCTAGTGTGTGGTGTCCCTGCTCATGGCAGGGGGGTTGGAACTAGATGATCTTAAGGTCTTTTCCAACCCTGACTGTTCTATGGTTTTATGATCACAGTTTGTGTAGCAACCCAAAAGGAATTCTTGCCTCCTTTTGCCCCCAAAAAGGAAGGAATAAAGCACACAACTTCAGTACTTTGAGTGTTCTGGCACAAGCTAAGTGTGTGGTTAGTACTTCAATTTCATGCAATTTCCTATTTTTAGAAGCAGAATCTTAGATTTATTAATTATTTGCATCATAATGGACAACTCACCCCAGTTAAACAGTGCTTTCCTCAATTATTACTAATTCATTGTAAACCATTCCTTGCTCTACATGATGAGAGGTCTGTCAGAGTGCATTTTGAATGTTACAATATGTACTTTTGAGCACTGTGCTCTAAATGCAGTTTGGAATAGCAAATCCAGTTCTCGGCTATTAAAAATAGCCAGCAAGTGCGGTATCCTTCAGTCCTTGCATATGTTTGAGTTCCTGTGGATGTGTGATGCGTCATGAATGAAAATAAAACTGTGGGTCCCAGATAACGTGTTGCAGAAAGGTAACAGATTCCTGGTGCTGCTTTTTTGAAGCTGCATATCAGACCTTCCCCCCAGATCTACCGGGGGGGTGTGGGGGGGAAGGGATGGTTTCTGTTCTCCCACTAGATGGTGCTGTTCTCTCTAGAGTGCTTCTGAGGTGGTGTCAGAAGCGCTCAGAGCTTTGTAGTGCAGTATGTCAAAGACTGGCCAGCTGTCTCTGGCTTCCTCACTTGAGGGACACTCGAGGGTAATTTTTGAGCAGAAAGCTGTTAACCAGCAATGAATGAACTCCCAAGTGACTTGGGGACTCGGAAGGGTGGTCTTGTCCAATTAGACTTCCTGGCATGTTAGTTTTCCACAGAAATCCTCAACCCTAGGAGGAAGCTGCTTCTGGGATTTGACCTGATGTGAATTTAAGTATTTGGCTGCAGCTGCACATTATCAAACTGAATGATGCCAGGACATTCACACCATTTCTTTTTCACAGGGTAGGTTTCCCCAGTGGGTGGGGTATCTGCATAAAATTAAGGAATATTTTTGCTCTAAAGATGCTGTTCAGTTTCTGGGTTTTGTCTTTAAAATTTTAACTCCTATAAACTAAGTATTTTCTTTTTCTTAGGTAAAAGGACCATCAGTGTCTAATCCAAATACAATGGTAGATTTGTTCACCCCTTGCTCCCCAGGTGATCCTGGAGCTATAGAAATGACATGGATGGAGGTTCCTGGTGATAAATTACTGGAGCCTCAAGTTTCCATGGTAGGTATTCTTTTGTACCATTTTTTTTCTTGCTTTGCAGAACTCTGAAAAGACTTTAAAGCCTTTTTCAAATGGTTATGTGAGGCAGTTGGAGTTGTTTGTTTTCACAGATGCTGGACATACCAGATAACATTCTGAATTCTCAACATACAGTGCTACAGTAGGGCATGCCTGTGGAAAAGCCAGCTCTCTATCCCTGATCAGCATTTCTTACTGTTCTTGCCTGCTGGCATGCAGCTGCTGTCTTTTCATCCATAGACAGCATCTGGCTCTTCTGCTATCCTCTCACTTGTCTTCTATTCATGAAATCATAGAATGGTTATGGTTGGAAAGGACCTTAAGATCATCTAGTTCCAACCCCCAATGTTTTTTCATTTAAACATTTGGGAACCTGGCCCCAAGACATGCTTCCTTCCTATCACTCTAGTGCTAATATCGATACTGGGAAATGCAAAATTATATTCACTGTAAACTGGGAGGTGATGTGCTGTAGGTGAATATTGCCCACAAAATAAATGCAAGCATAAACAATAAAATATAGAAAGATTGTGGATGTAATAGTAGTTCTGGTTAAATTTCATCACAGGTGATACAGCTCTTTTAGGTGTTTCCTTTGTGCACCTTAAAATACTTGCTTTGGTCTAGAGAGTAAAATATGTCAATTTTAGACAACTTGAAATTGTAGTTCACTGCTTAAAAAAATAATTGCTGCACACTTACTCTGTATTTCTCCCTAAGAGGAAAAAAAGAAGCTTCTGAATTTAAGTATTACATTTGAGGGAAGGGCTTCATAAACATACCTGTACTGTTGCCATTTCTTGTGCGCAAACAGTCCTGTGACGAATGAAAGAAATCAGTGTATTTAATGGAGATCACAAACCTCTAAAGCAGTGGGTACTACTTTGTAAATATAACTGTCACTATATTTCAGAAAATCATTTTGTGTGCATAGTCACATACTGAGGAAGCACAAAAGGAAGTATGCAGGTGCAGGCCTGCCCTGGAACTTCTGCCTGCATGGTCTACGTGGATTTTTTTTTTTAATCAGTCTTTCCTGGAATTCAGCATAATTCCTTGTGTGCTCCTAATGGTACCTGGGCTCTGATTGATGCACTATAATTGCACAGGCATTTGTTTGATTGTCCTTAAAAAGATGAGGCTTTAATTCTTTCTAAGCAGGGTATCTCTAGTTGTGATACTAACTTTTGCTTTTACCCATAATTTTATAGTACTGTGAGGTGTTAGGCATTACTTTTTTTCAGTTGTCTTTGGCTAGGACTTGATTAGTTTTCTTCTGTCTTTTTAGTCAGAGGGGGTGTTCTAACTGCTGCTTTCAACTTTATAGATCTGTGATTTTTCTGAACTCCATTTTCTGCTATCTATCTAGGAAATTGACTTAATTGAAGAGAGAGAAATTACTGGTCATGAACAGTAAAACTTTGCTAGAAATGAATCACAAACTGATATCATATATGCTTGGACTGTAAAGAGCACGTGGGAACACCTGATTATTTTCTACTTTTAAACCCCTGCAGTTAAAGAAGGGTTGAAAATAGTAACTGACAAAAACGGATGAGTGGCATAAACCTAAACCTGAGGTTGTGGTTTCATTATTAGAAAACTCAATGATGGTGTCTGTTTTCGCAGGATTAAAATGCTGCCTCCGTGCAGGAGTGTTTAGGCTTACTTAAATCCTTGTGTAAATACGAGCTCCTATGGCCATCTTGGTTTAATGGGCTTTGTAATGCATATTTGTCTTAGCAACCAGATTGTTAGCAGTGGTACTGTACTTGTTTCTGAAAACACTTCTTTTCTTTTCTGTTTGTTTCTTGACAGGCCGATATGCTCAGGTCACTAGCTAGCACAAAACCAACAGTTAATGAACAGGACCTGGAGAAGTTAAAGAAGTTTACAGAAGACTTTGGTCAGGAAGGCTAAACCAAAGATACATGTGGAGCATTAGAACTTTTTCCCCCCTTTCTTAAGTATTCTTATGTCTTTACTGATGGCACTTCAAATAAATGCCAATAAAATCACTCCTTTCTGACTTTGCAGAAGGAATAGAAGATACCATTGCAAAGACCCTTAAGCTTTTATATTGTATTGTTTTCCTCAGATGTCTATTAAATGTCTTCTATTGAAAAATAGTATGAAAATACAGTTTTAGGGTGAGACAGCAAAGTGATGTGGTAATGTCTATTAAATACTAGAAAATTTTAAATCATTAGTTCAATTTTAGGTATTATATTAGACCTGGGTACAAGTGAGTTTTAAACTCCCAGTAGGCTCAAAAACCCCTTTTTTGAGGGTGGAAGAGAAAATATTTGGGTGTTTTCGGTATCAGTCAATCAGTCTTTGTATTAATTGCTCTCATTTCATTTAGAAAGATGCAACAAAATTTGTTAATCAAGCATATGGCAAGTGTGGGTTTGCTATTAAAGTAAGGAAGAAAACACTGTGAGGGTGAGACTACATGGGCCAGTACTTTGTTTAAATACTGATGGAATTGGTATTTGGCTTTTTCTGCTATGCTGTGTCAGAATTTTGCCTTAAACAGGAAGGTTTTGTTTTTAACTCTTTACTAGCTGATACACACTGTCACTATGCAATTTAGCAAAAGTTTGTTAAATGCAAGTATCTGGGAAGGTGTTTTGCTGGCTGTTCTTGTTTTGTTTGTTGCTGTTGTTTCTAAATCTGGATTTACTTTCTGCAGGAGTTTGACTGAAGTTAGAAAAAAGCATTAGTAATACCCTGTAAGATTCCACATGTCAAGGCTGGCAAGGTGTAGGTAGTCTTTGGAGAACGTATGGGAGCTATTCTGGGAAATAGCATGCTTTCACGTGCGAGGAGAGTATAACAGATGTTTTAGGCACAGACTTTCCGGTGATAAATTAACCCAGAACTCTACTGATAACTTGCATATGTTACATCAATTTAGTGCTTAAACTTGGAGAGAAGGCTGGCAGTTTAGTTCAGCAGTAGCACTTCCACTGGTCTCTTTCTGAAGAAATAAAAATTGAGATGTGCCTGAATGTGACTTACAACACTACAGTGTCAGCATTGAGATTGTGCCTTGTAAGTTTGCACTGGCTGTAGATACAAAACATCCTTAGGATACCTAGGATACTCTGTTCCATGATCATTGTACAACTCTATCTTGCATAGGCTTTCTTTAACTTGCATTAAAAGAAATTTGCACATTTTGTGTGTGTATGTTATAGGTACATATACACATATATTGATCATCTTTTGATGGGGTTTGGTTTCCTTTATGTACATATTTTGTGTACTTTATAAATCATAGGATGGGTGAAATTTGCTGTATGTCATTTAAGTAAAATGTTAGAGTACAACACCAGCTATGTTCTTTGAGTATTTCTTCAATGTTCAAGTATTTTCTGCTTGGGTGAGGTTTTTTTAAAGCTTTGGTTTCTATGTTTAACAGCTAAACAAAATATTTAGTTGAAAATTCTTTGATCTGCAAGGTGCTGAGCTTTTATTTACTAACATGATTAAACATTCTTTCCAAAATCATTCAGTTACACAGAGCTTTACCTTTGTCTTATGTTGGAATGTGTAAATGTGAATCAGTGGACTACAAATCTTTTTATGGACCTTTCTAGGGGCAAAGGGGCAGGAATTCCAGTGTAGGTGCAGGCAACTATGGTGAGTAAACTTAATCCTCATTGCAACAGGATTACTTTTTCATAGTTGCCTCTTGTGAATATTTTAGAAGCATTCACAAGTGTATGAGCCATTTACTGTTGGGGCTTTCACTCAGAGGTTTGAAGCTGTTCTCTGAAGTACTTGTCTCTTCACCTTTTTTAAAATGAGAGTCCTTATTGCAATCCTAAAATTCTCAGGAACTTTTTTTTTTGGATTTGTGGTAGGCTGATCTGTCCTATGAGTTTCCATAAGCTGAATTGTGTAACTTCTCATCTTTAATGTAGAAGACAAGTATACTGTATGTTTTAAACTTACATCTTGCTGCTTGCTCAGTTGTGGGATGACATCTGTAACAGAAGCACTAATGTTTGATGTTTAAAGTTGTTTTTAGAAATATATTCCAAATAAACATTGCTGCTTAGAATTGCAGCTACAAGGACAAATTTATGGCTTGCTGTCTTTTTAAGATATAAATAATATATATCTCGGAGATTCTTAGCTAAATTATCCCAGAATAGATGATAGCCTAATGGGGGGTGAGGGCTGCAGAATCACTTCTTAGTTTTTAGGGTTAACTGAAAATACTCTAAATAATTTATGAAAGGTTATATTTGCTTTACATAATCAAACTCTCTTTAAATACTGTATAAATTAGTTGTACATTTTTCATATGGTCTCAGGTATGACTCACCTTTGGCTAGTTAGCTCACAGATTTTTTTCCTAACTTGTGATGTTACTGCCTACCGTGACTGCAATATGAAAAAATGCCATTTCCTTCCTGTGGGTAAACTAGTAGGTCAATTAAATCAGTTGCATGTGTGCTGCTTGTGTTCTTCACAGATGGTTTCTTCACATTGACATTAAACTTTTTGGATTTCCTGGCACTTGGGGTACACATCTCAATACATGCATTCACAGGGTTACAAAAGCTCAGTAAATTAACTTGGTATATTTTTTTCCCATGTTGCCTGACTGACCTCAAATTCCAGAGTCTTGTTTCTTCACTGATTCACCTGTCAGCTTTGTTTTGTCATTCTCTAGCACAACCAAAACATACAAATCTCCTTCAAGGTTTTTATTTGGTTTTGAATTATCTGCTGATCTTCAAATATACTTTTGTTTTAATTAGTGGAGAACAACATATATCTGAGGGAGATACTCTTGAATCGGCTGTTGTTCATGCTCTTGTCTGTTGGGTTGTCCGACCAGTTTGCTCTTTCTGTCAACTGAAGCAAAGAAGCTGCTGGATGTTCCCTGGTCAGGCGTTTTGATCTACTTTTTGTGTTTATTTAGTCTTCTTCCTAATAAGAATATTCTAAACTTTTTTCATGTTACTTCTGAGGATTGTCTTGACAGGGAAGCTTTCTAATAGTTCTGAATGTGCTGAAATACGCAGGAACATCTTTATTGCGCTGTTTACTCTTTCCTTCCTCCAGAATTACAGCTTGTTTCACGATTGGCTTCCATACATGTTTTTGGTCTTAACCAGATCCATCCTAGTAATCATGGTTGACTTAAAGCCATTCCTGTAACTTACGTAAACTGTTGCAAGAACATGGTGGACTGTTTGTTTCCTACTGTGCAGCTTTTCCAACAGATACGTAATTCTTATCAGAATGTTGTTCTCTTTATTCTTGAACAGGTAGGTTTTGTTGTAGCTCTTGTGGCATAGCACCAGTGCCTTCCCCTTTAATTTTTCTTTAGCTTTTTATTAACAGTATTTTAATCTAGAGATTTTATTCCACAAATCCTCTGTCGTCATAATTAGCTGTGTAAAAACTATTAATTGTGCATTCATCCTCTGTCCTGGCATTTGTGTAATGGCAGCCCAGGTATTAGATAAGCGTGTCCTGTTATTTGTCTTTTGGTTGCTGTGACCCAATTACTATTCTTCCTCTCCCTCCCCCACCTCTACATAGACAAATGCACACACACGCCCTTCTGCTGGTAGCTTTTTGACTAGGCCACTGGTTTTGTGCCACTCTCTGCTTACTCATATTTGCATCCTCTATTCTACGTAGGAGTCTCCAACTTGATGAATAAGTGGTCAGGGATACTTCTTCCCGCCATCACATTGACTCGGTTTGGAGATGCAAGAAGTCCATCTGTCTGTACCACCTGTGCCAGACTGTCTACCATGCGTTGGTCTACTGGTCTTTTGCAGAAATAGTTGGTATTTTAGGCCTCATTTATTTGGACTTAGTCATGAAAGCAAAATACGATGTCCTATCTGCATCATAGCAAGAGCTAAATTCTCTTCTAAAAAGGCTTTGGTCATGTTTTGAGACATCTCCAGGAAATAAGTCACCGACACCTGAGCGCAGGGCTGATGCTGATAATGAAGCCAGGGTTTTCTTTCCTGCTTGGTAACCTATTAGCAGGCATTGTGCCATGAATTGGCAAGACTTGCATTTGCTTGCCCTCCCTCCTCTTCTGCTGCCTCAGCTAATTTAAATCAAAGCTATTCAAGGCAGGACTTTGCTTTCAAACATGCTCAGTGTCACATGTGTTCTGTAAACTATAAACAGTAATTTCCTCTGACTCATTGTGTTGTTGGCCAATGACCGACCACAGGTAATTTGTTACAAAAATCTCAGCTGGAGCAGTGGCCCTTCTGCTGCTTCTCTGTCAATGTCTCAGCAATAACAAGTCAGCTAGATGAGGGACTGAGAAAGTTGCTATAAATATCGCCATCTCATATGGGAAATAAAACGGCAAACGCGGACTGTTATACAGCTGTGACCTGGGCTCTGGAAGAGTTAAGTGAATTGTTTGCCCAATAGAAAGCTAGGAAAAAAGGAAATTAAAACTGTATGAATTCAAACGATTACTTTTCTTCCCTCCTCTCCTTAAAGGCTGGAGCTTGGGCTGTGGTGGAGAGGCTCTGACCTGTCAAGGCCTTACTTTTGGGTAAGATTTTAGAAAAATCAGGAAAATTAGCTGACTACTGTTTTCAAACGTGCCATTTAAAATGTCAGTTGAAATGCTTATGCTCTTGCCTTGCTAAGTCTAAGCTCACTTGGAGTTTTCATGTTTTAATGAATCAATCACAGCCATGAATTGCTCTGTACGCAACCAAACTGCAAAGCAATTAGTGTTCTTCTAACCCTTATACCTGTTCTTGTTTTGCTGTGCACTTGTGCATTCATGTCCAGCCTTGTTCTGTGCCTGTAATTTAAAAAGGTTTTCTTTTATAGTTTGTTGTTACCTGCCTCAAAACCTCATGCACGTGTCTACTGTCAGTATGGAAATAAGCAGGTGGTTTGCCTGCCTGACAGCAAAGCTTGCATAGGTGCAGAACAGCGATAGTTCCCATAGGAGCCTCAGGGCCTGCTGACAGAGCCTGAAATCTTCCCGCTGCCCTTCAGCTTCACTGTTCCTTCACCAGCTTCAGGACAGAGAAGGGATGCCTGTATAAATAGATACCATCATTGCCTAAGGGCATGTGGAGGGCTATGGTAGATGTGCATATCCATATATGCAAATGCCGCTTACAAACCCCTTAGGAAAGACCCACCAAAGGCACAACAGGTAGTCACTGCAAAGTCACCTTCACCCAGCAGTTGTAGCACTGCACAGTGCCTGCTTGTTCTGGGTTTAGAAGGTCTAAGTCCAGCAGGGCACAAATGTGTTGCAGCATTTGGATATTTTT